TCTAAAATTCTGGTCAGGCAGTGGCTCATGCCTGTACCACCACCACTTTGGAAGGCCTGTAACACCACCACTTTGGAAGGCCAAGGTGGGCAGATCACTTGAGGTCAGGAGTTTGAGACCAGCCTGGCCAACCTGGTGAAACTCTGTCTCTACTAAAAATACAAAAATTAGCTGGATGTGGTTGTGCATGCCTGTAGTCCCAGCTACTCAGGAGGCTCAGGCAGGAGAATCGACTGAACCTGGGAGGTGGAGGTTGCAATGAGCCGAGATCATGCCACTACACTCCAGCCTGGGGAAGAGAGAGAAATTCCACCTCAAAAAAAGAATACTAGGGCCGGGCGTGGTGGCTCACGCCTGTAACCCCATCACTTTGGGAGGCCGAGACAGGCGGATCATGAGGTCAAGAGATCAAGACCATCCTGGTCAATATGGTGAAACCCCATCTCTACTAAAAATACAAAAAGTCAGCTGGGCATGGTGGCGCGTGCCTGTAATCCCAGCTACTCAGGAGGCTGAGGCAGGAGAATTGCCTGAACCCAGGAGGCGGAGGTTGCGGTGAGCTGAGATGGCACCATTGCACTCCAGCCTGGGTAACAAGAGCAAAACTCTATTTCAAAAAAAAAATACTAAAATAAAATAAAATATTCTCCAAATAAAAGCCAAATAATTTATATTTCAAACTGAGACATTTGAAGGGTTTCTATGGCTGGTCTAAGATCATCAGTTTAAAATACTAAGGCACTCATACAAGCTAGAAATCCTGGACATACAGATCTGTGTAAAAGAAAACTACTGTAAAGTCCTAAAAGAAGCCTATTCTAGGCCAGGCACCCACCTTAGCCTCCCAAAGTGCTGGGATCACAGGTCTGAGCCACTACGCCTAGTCCAAACTTTTTTTATTTTTAAAGAAAGGGTATCACTCTGTTGCTTAGGCTGGGGTACAGTGGCACGATCATAGCTCACTCCAGCCTCAATCTTGTGGGCTCCAGTGATCCTCCCACCTCAGCCTCCTAAGTAGCTGGGGCTACAGGTGCATGCTCTGCAAATTTTAAAATTCTTTTGTAGACACAGGATGGGTTTCTCTATGTTGCCCAAGCAGGTCTCAAGCTCCTGGCCTCAAGCAACTCTCGATCTTTGGCCTCCCAAGTGCTAGGATTACAGGCATGAGTCTACAAACTCTTAAGAGGTAATGGCATCTTCCCATGTGTATATTAATGACAGAGGTCCTTGGAGTGATGAAAAAGACTGGATCCTGCTAACCACTGGTTGGGCTTCAGAATGTTTCTAACAACATTCTGAGGGTATGATCCAGAGGGTTACATATCCAGGCATGTCTCTCAGAGATGCTTTCAGGGATCTTTAACAACTATTCCCTATCCCACCTAACCTTAAGCAGAACAAGACTTTTCTTACATGTTGTTTCCTCTGCCTTTCCCTGACAAGGTAAGCCTCTGGCAGCTATGGCTAAGTGGTTCCCCTACTGCAGAACAGACAGCTCAGCCAGGTGATGGGACTACCAATCAAAGTCCACATGAGATGAACTGGAGGGAATTTTTTCCAGCCTTTGGTGTATGTGCAAATCTACCTGCAAGACTTAGCAAAACAGCAATGAAGACATTTCATTTATCTGGGTCCTTACTTGGGGGAGATCTGTGGTTATAATTACAGACAGCCACCCTAGGAAGTCTTACATTCCTATCCATTTCTGTAATTAAATTGATTTTAATCTCTTCCTATTTTATTCACCAACAATTTATAGGATGCTAATAACTTCCTCCCACCTACTCTCTTCTTATCCAAATTCTTGTAATGTAAGGATATCAAGTTAACCACAGAGTTTGAACTGAATGCTTGTGGCTGTTTCTGGATAAGAATCCTAAGGGAGGCCAGGCATGGTGGCTCACACCTATAATCCAAGCACTTTGGGAGACAGAGGTGGGTGGATCACCTGAGGTGAGGTGGTCAGGAGACCAGCCTGGCCAACATGGTGAAATCCCAGCTCTATTAAAAACACAAAGCATTAGCTGGGTGTGCTGATGTGTGGCTGTAATCCCAGCTACTGGGGAGGCTGAGGCAGGAGAATCACTTGAACCCAGGAGGCGGAGGTTGCAGTGAGCTGAGATCACACCACTGCACTTCAGCCTGGGGGACACAGTGGGGACTCCATCTCAAAAAAAAAAAAAAAAAGGAATTCTAAGGGAATACAGAGAAATTTCCTTTAAAAGTTCCTACTTACACGTTTTACAAGCCTAGTGTTGGCTGAAAAGTAGAGTTCTTTCCAGGCACAACATCAGGTTTTCCCATGGGAGTCTCTTTCTATCTCCTGCTTGTTCATTTTTTCATACTGTGTAAATGTTCAAGAATAATCAAAAGGACAGGTTTTTTTGAATCTCTAACTTAAATTCCATTGTTGTAGTCCTCATCAATGAGCTTCTAACCAAAGCCCAATTTCATCTCATACCCCAATTTTTTTATCTTTCCAAAGAAGTGTCTCCTGGAGGTCAAACACCTCTTTTGTCATGGTGTCTATTTTCTGCTGCATGCGCTGCTTCTCCTGCAGAGGAAGAGGGGAAGAGAAGTAATAAAAGAGCAGAAAGAAAAGGAAGGGGGTTTGAGGGAAGAAATAAAAATAAAGCCGATAAAGAAACTTAACCAAAAGGGAAAGTCTGTGATGAACAGGAAAAGCAAAATTGGTTTGCCAAAAGAAAAGATGACATTCACAGTCTTGGCCACATGATTCCCACTGGCTTACCCATACAAAAGTAAGGAAAGGAACCAGGAATGACTGTTCCAACCACAGCTATGTGGCATGAGGCCAGCTACAATTTCTGTATACATACAGCTCCATATGTGTATTCATTCTGTGATAACTGCGTTTTTTCAAACAAGAATTTACATTTCTAGAGAGGGAAATTTAGGTTTGCTTATGAACAAATGATCTTTTATCTTAGAGAACAAGCAGTAGTTGTGAATTTTATTATTTTTTTTTGAGACGGAGTCTCGCTCTGTTGCCCAGGTTGGAGTGCAGTGGTGAGATCTTGGCTCACTGCAACCTCCATCTCCTGGGTTCAAGTGATTCTCCTGTCTCAGCCTCCTGAGTAGCTGGGATTACAGGCATGCGCCACCACGCCCAGCTAATTTTTGTATTTTTAGTAGAGACAGGGTTTCACCACGTTGGTCAGGCTGGTCTCAAACTCCCGACCTTGTGATCCACCCGCCTCGGCTTCCCAAAGTGCTGGGATTACAGGCGTGAGCCACCACGCCCAGCTTGTTATTTTTTAAGCAGAACTGATCATTTTGAATTTCTGTCAGCAAAATCTATGATAGCAAGAACACCATGAATTTGGTATTATTTTAAAATTATTTATATTATTTTAAAGTATTTAAATTTAGCATTTAGCAATCCGTAAATGACCTTTCCAATTAAGCAATGGCGCTTAACAAGTTTTCTTCTTATGCATTATTGGTAAATTATCATCTCCTTCTTTCCCTACTCATACATGAGGTACCTTACCATGGAATTTTCAATTCCAAAGACCAAAAAGCATTATTTGTAATATTTAAAGTCTTTCAGCATAACCATATATACTAACATCTAAAAGATGTTAATTCTAAATGTAAAAAACCTCTAAAACTAGTTTTCAAAATTTGTATGCCTAGCATCTAAGCTACTAAAGAAGCCACAGTGGTGAACTATAGAAATCAAGCATTATATTCTTCTTAAATGCAATTACAATTAAAAACTAGAACACTTTACCAACCCTAACTTAAGCTATTGAATCTGAGAAGCAGCTCCCAAAGCAGGCTTATTTTATGAAATCATAAAAGTGGGAAAGTATATGTTTTAATTAGAAAAAGAAATAAATGGTTGGCATTTTGGCACAAAAAGATATAAGAACAAAAAGGGAAAGAATTTCACATTATTTAAAAATACTGGCAGGATACAGCTTCTGGAAAATATGCTTCCTACCTCATATGGAGAAAAACTAAGAAAATTAACTTCACATGTAATCTGATAGATCCAAAAGGTTATCTGTATCTGCACTTGAAATCCACAAATTCTGGGTATGTTCAATTATTCTTAATAATGACAAAACACCAATCTTCGAAATTTAAAAAGTCATTTCTTTTTCTCTATTAAATGGTTTTTTAAAAGTCATTGGTAGAGAGAGAGATTAAGAGGTAGTTCTGAGGGGAAAGAGGAAAAGAGGGAGAGAAAAAGAAAGGCTAGGGTCTGAGTAGCCAGGAGTGTGGACCATTAACATCTATGCTTCCTGACATCTCTGGCCTGTCAACACTAAATTAATAGAAGCCTTTGATAGCCAGCACTAGAGAGTGGGCAGGATACCCCCTCAAATTTATTTCCATATTTATGTGAAAGCATCATCTCAAGAGGGGAAAGCACATTTAAAGAAAGAAGATGCGTGCAATGGAGTGGGCCTACAAGGAGGACAAATGCTGTCAAAGAGTTCCTGGTGTGCGGTGCTTCACTCCATTCCTAAGATGCTGCCCACAATGTGGGCGTCCCTTCGCCTGCAGAAACCTGAACTTTCAGACTAGCCATTCATGACTTTTTTGTACAGAAGGTACCTTGACATTTCTTCTTTTTTCATTTAGCCACCTCAGAAATGTATCTACCTGAGTGAAAAATCAAACTTATTCCCCAAGAATCATGCATTCACTAATTCCAAAGAATAATGTTACCCTCTAATTTTTCCCTTTGTCCATTTCCTAAGATACCTTTAAGAAACAGTGTGCTGAGGAATAAGAGACACAAAAATTTCTGCTACCCAAGGGGGGTAATGTTTACAGGATTTATAGTATCAATTTTTAAGCATGATCTGGTTTGTGTTTGAAAAATTTTAGTGTACAGTGAAATGCAAAGAGACCAGTAAACTCTTTGATGCATCTTAATTCTCCTTCCCTCCCAACACACACATCCTCACCCCATTCAACTCCTTTTTGTCAAAATTAAGTATTTCCACAGTTCACATGCGTACCTCAATAAGCTCATCTCTTTGCCGAAGGCCTTCTTTAAGTTCTTCCATCTTATGCTGCAGCACACTACACATATGTTTCTGCCTTTCCAACTCCTGTTATTAAACAAATGATATCATTTACACAGGTCATGGCACACAAGAAATTTGAAAACATACAATACAACACACAGATTAAGTATGACCTCCCGAAACATGCCCAAACTCCTGATTAATAGTAACTTAGAAAAACTGTGTAATTATTTATCTAGAAAACCTGAACTAATCAATGGCAAAATTATTATAAACAAAAGATAATTTAGTAAAGTAATAGGTTATAAAATGAACATATACAATTCAGTAACATTCATAGATGCAAATAAAAATTTAAAGAAGGAATAACAAATCAATATTAAGCCAAATATATACATGTCAACTTACAAGATATATCAAAAACCTATATGAGGAAAATTATAAAAAACATTCCCAAAAGACAGAGAAGTACAACTGAATAAATGGAAAGGCATACTGTCTTCTTGGATTAAAAGTCTCACAACATTATAAAAATGCCAGTTCTCCCTAAATTAATCTATAATTTAATGCTGTACAAATAAAAATACCATCAGGTTTTAATTTTCTCATCAGAGCAAGGCAAGTTGATTTGAAAGAAAAACACAAGAAAAAGTAGCCAGAAAAATACATACTGAAAAAGAACACCGGCCTTACCAGATAGTAAAACATAAAGTTTCTATAATTAAAACAATGTTGTTATGGCACACGAATATAGACCAAGAGAGCAGAATAGAAGATTCAGGAAAAGACCCATTTACATATACAAATATATTTAAAAACAACAAAAATAGGAGCATCTCAAATCAATGAGAAAAAAAAAAGACTTTTAAGTTTGTAATGTTGGGATAACTGGATATCCATTTGGAAAAAGATAAAATTGGAACCATACCCCACACCACAGACCAGGATAAATTCCAAATCAATCAGAGGCGTACATAAAGAAAGTCAGGGAGTGAATGGGGGAAGAGGGAAGGAAAGGGAGAACGAACTGTACAGGAACTAAAAGAAAAGTAACCAAGGAGTAGAGCAATCTTTACTAAGAAAATGACTCAAAAATCCACAAGCAATGAGGTAAAGGTACATTAAACTAGACTACATAAAAATAAAAACTTTGCCAGGCATAGTGGCTCATGCCTGCAATCCTAGCACTTTGGGAGGCCAAGGCAGGCGGATCACTTGAGGTCAGGAGTTTGAAACCAGCTTGATCATCATGGCGAAACCCCATCTCTAGTAAAAATTCAAAAAATTAGCTGGGCACCTGTAATCACAGATACCCAGAAGGCTGAAGCAGGAGAATCACTTGAACCCGGGAGGTGGAGGTTGCAGTGAGCAGAGATCACTCCAGCCTGGGTGACCAAATGAGACGCCATCAAATAAATAAATAAATAAATAAATAACTTTGGGCTGGGCCTGGTGGCTTACAACTGTAATCCCAGCACTCTGGGAGGTGAGGCAGGTGGATCCCTTGAGCCCAAGGATTCAAGACCAACCTGGGCAACAAAATATCCAAAAATTAGAAAATTAGCCAGGCTTGGTGGCATGTGCCTGTAGTCCCAGGTACTCCGAAGGGTGAGGTGGAAGAACGACCTGAGCCCGGGGAGGTCAAGGCTAAAGTGAGCCATGATGGTGCCAATGCACTCCAGCCTGGCAACAGAGTAAGACTCTGTCTCCAAAAAATACATCGGCAAATAACTAAACTTTTGAATGGCAGAGAATCTCTAAAATGAGAAAGAAAAAAAGCACTAACTGCATAGAAAAACAAACTACAGAAATGGACAGTTTACAGAAAAAGAAATGAAAATAACTCTGAATATGAAAAGATACTCATACTAAGAGAAATGGAAACAAACTATTTGTCTCACCAAACACTAGTAAAAGTTAAAAACTTGACAACATATTCCAGGACGGAACTATGGGGAAGGAAACAAGCCCTCATAGATTTTGGTGAGAATGCAATAGTATGAAGCTTACAGAGGAGACCTCAGCAGTATCTTGCAAAACTACAAACCTTTCCACACAGCAATATCACTCTTCAACATAGATACATTGGCCAAAATACAAAATGACCTATGCAGTATGTTATTTCTACAGGACTATTTTTAACAGCAAAACATGACAAACTTGAAGGTCTATTAATAGGGAACTGGTAGAATAAAGTATGGTACATCCATACTGTGGAATAATTATGCAGTGGTGAAAAAGAATGAGCAAGATATCTCTATACTACATTCATCATAAAGTGATAAAATATGGATGCAGAACAGCATTTATATTAATAGTATGCTACCATTTTCTAAGAAAGGAGAATAATGAATACATATATTTTGAATGATAAATATATATATATACACACATATATATCTTTTTAGATTAAAAGTGGCTACCCGATACATCTTTTGAGATTTGAAAAATGGAAAGATAAACCATTAAATTTTTAAATTCCCTAAAGGAAGGAGAAAACAGGGATAAAGTGACAGAGATAGAAGATTAACTTCTTCAAATGTATTTTCTTTGTTAACTTGACTCAAGATCTATGTAACTATTCTATATAATTGTAAAACAAAATTAAATTTAAAAAGCAGTTCCTAGTGGAAACAACTCAAGTGGCCATCGATAGATGAATGGATAAACAAAACACAGTATATACACAGTGGAATATTATTCAGCTTTAAAAAAGAAGAAACTCTTGTGACATGCTACAACATGGATGAGCCTTAGGACATTATGTTAAATGAAGTAAACCAGTCACAAAATGATAAATTATTATATGATTCTACTTACTTATGAATTTGGTACATAGAGTAGCCAAATTCACAGAGACAGAAAGTAGGATAGCAGTTGCCAAGGGCTGGTGGGAGGGAGAAAGGGGAACTGTTTAATGGGTATAGAGTTTTCATTTTGCAAGATGAAAAATTTCTGGAGATCTAATGCACAATAATGTGAATATGCTTCACACTACTGAACTCTACACTTTAAAATGGTTAAGATAATAAATTTTGTTTTTTTATAACAATTAAAAATTTTAAAATAAAAATAATTTTAAAAGTAATTCCTAAATATTGAAAATAAAATGCAGTGAACCTACCTATAGATCCAATTAGTAGCACAAAAAGAAACTATTTCAAGCAACTTCTAAAAACAATAGTTTGGCCATATAAGGACTAGTGGCAAAAATAACAGCAAAGCAAAATCAAACAAAATAAAAATCTTTTGCCTATTTTCAGTAATTAAATAGTTAGTGTTAATGTTGGTATTGCTATTCTACATAACTTGGGATAAAGCAAAGAGAACAGAACGTAACAGAATTACTATCATCTCTAGAAACTTTGAGAACTAGGAATTGTAGTGTGGGGGGGAAAAAAGATACAGATGTAAGACAGAAGAGGTTATGAACTGGCAGCATGAACTCATAATATATTTTGTCATTAAAAACAAAAGAAAAACTTCATACATGTTTCCCAAATGTATTCACTGAAAAGACCCATAAACAGTGTCCAACCTAGTGGCAATGAGCATCTCTAGCACTCACACTAAAAAAGAACTAGGGCTCCTTGTGCAAATGGCTGATCCCAGGTCTGGGGCGGAAAATGTACAAGGTAAGACTGGAAAATCTGTCAGAAAGCAAAAATCTATCAAAAACAATTAGACTCACCAGAAGTACTTGCAGATCAACCTGAAGAGGTTCACATTAGCCAAAGATGGGACAATTTTAGCATCAAAAAGAATAAAAGCTGCAATGCACTGAAGACATCAAATGCTTGAATTTATGACTTCATATTAATATTTTAAGAGAAAAGTAGTTGGTCACTGTAAGAAGTCACTCAACCGATTCCTTTTTTTTTTTGAAAACTCACAAAGGGAGAAAATAATTGCAAATAATATATCTGATGAAATACTTATATCTAGAACATACAAGCAGCCTTATAACTCAGTAATAAAAAGACGAAACCCAATTTTAGAATGTGCAAAGGATATGAATAGACATATTGCCAAGGAAGATATGCAAATAGCCAATAAGCCCATGAAAATATGCTCAAAATCATTAAGTCACCAGGGAGATGTAAATCAAAACCATAACTATTAGGATGGCTGGAATAAAAAAGTCAGATAACAAGTGTTGGTGAGGATGTGGGAGAATCAAACCTGCATACATTACTGGTGTGAGAATATAAAATGGTGCAGGACTTTGGAAAATAGTCTGGCATTGTTTAAATGGTTAAACACAGATTTGTCGTGTGAATCAGCAATTCCACTCCCAAGTATATACTTAAGAAAAAGGAAAGCACATGTCCAGACAATGCACAGTGGCTCATGTCTGTAATTCCAGCATTTTGGGAGACCAAGGCAGGAGGACTGCTTGGGGCCAGGAGTTACCAGCCTGGGCAACATAGCAAGGCCCTGCCTCTTAAGAAAAAAAAAAATGTTCAAAAAACAACCTGTACACAAATGTTTATAGCAGCATTATTCTTCACAGGAAAAAGTATAAACAACCCAAGTGTCCACCAGTGCACAAATGGATAAACAAAATGTAGCATACCCATAAAATGGAATATTAATAAGCTATAAAAGGAATTAAGTACTGATACAAGGTACAGCATGGATGAACCTTGAAAACATGATGCTAAATGAAACAGCCAGTCACAAAAGACCATGTATTATATGATTCCATTCATGTGAGTCAGGAATAGGGAACACTATAGATAGAAAGTAGATCAGTGGTTATTACAACTGAGGGGTTTGGGGAAGAGAGGTAATAAAAATATACTAAAAGTAACTGTCATGAAGGTTACCCATATATATGAATATACTAAAAACCACTGAACTGTACACTTTAAATGGATGATTTGTATGGTATGTGAATGTATCTCAATAAAGTTGCTTAAAAAGAACATTAAATAAGCCAGGTGCAATGGCTCATACCTGTAATCCCAGCAGTCTGGGAGGCAGAGGTAGCAGATCACCTGAGGTCAGGAGTTTGAGACCAGCCTGACCAACAAGGAGAGACCCCGTCTCTACTAAAAATACAAAATCAGCTGGGCATGGTGGTGCATGCCTGTAATCCCAGCTACTCAGAAGGATGAGGCAGGAAAATCACTTGAACGTGGGAGGCGGAGGTTGCAGTGAGTAAAGATTGCACCATTGCACTCCAGCCTGGGCAACAAGAGCAAAACTCTGTCTCAAAATAAATAAATAACATTAAATAAATAAACTGGTAATGATAAAATCAGAACATCCCATTTTGCAGCCCCTATTCAATGAAAGGATCTAAGCACTCACCTATGGCATAACAGCTAGCCACACATCTGGACCTCCTGAAGGAAGACAACTACATCATCTTTGAAGCAGACTTTCCAAAAAAACTGAAGTTATATTTGATTAAGTCTCTATGCCTTACTACCAATGTACAGAGCATACAGAGGACAGGGGAACATGGTAAAGACACTATGGGGATGAAAACAGACAACATGTAAGACTGGGAAATAGTAAGCAACCCAGTTTCTTCAACATATATATTACAAGGAGAAAAAAAGGGAAAGGGAACCTATACATGAAAAGAGACTTAACTATTTATCAACTAATTCCAAGGCGTGAAACTTATCTGGATCCTGACTTTTTTAAGTATAAAAAAGAAAAATCATTTATGGCATTTTGAAACTGCTAAAATTTTAAATGATTGAATATGTAATATGAATTATTGTTAATTTTACAGGTATGAAATGGTCTTTTGATTATGCTTTAAAAGAGAAACAATGAGCTGGGCGCAGGGACTTGTGTCTGTAATCCCAACACTTTGGGAGGCCAAAGGAGGAGGACTGCTTGAAGTCACAAGTTCAAGACCAGCCTGGGCAATACAGCAAGGTCTCATCTCCGCAAAAAGATATTTAAAAAACAGCCAGGTGTGGTGGCATGTGCCTACAGTTCTAGCTACTCAGGATCGCTTGAGGATGGGAGATCAAAGTAAGCTATGACTGTGCCACTGTACTCCAGCCTGGGGAGCAGAGTGAGACCCTGTCTGTAAAAATAATAAAATAAAATAAAAATATAAAACAAAATAGTTATTATAATTCCAAGAGGCACTAAAGGCATTTAGAAAAATTTTGTTAATACTGTATAATTATTATTGAATGGTCCTTCTCTACTCTCACTACCTGTTTCTGTAATGAGATACACGCCAGAGTGCCTGACCTCTTTGTTTATCTCTGAATATAACATTCTATTGTACAAAGCAATAGTTGTTTAGAATGAGAGAGCTCGGAGTAAAGCTATGTTAGAAAGAGATACTGTCACAAAGTCTTCTGCAACATGGTACGTGAAGCAAATTTCCAAGGTATTGAAAAAATCTAATAAATTTTAGGTTTGAAAAGTGTAAGAAGGCCCATCACGGTGGCTCACAACTGTAATCCCAGCACTGTGGGAAGCTGAGCGGGGGAGATCGCTTGAGCCCAGGAGTTGGAGACCAGCCTGGGCAATGTGGTGAAACCCTGATTCTATATAAAAAAATTTTTTTTAATTAGCCAGGCATGGTGGTACATGCCTTTAGTCCCAGCTACTCAGGAGACTGAGGTGGGAGGATCACTTGAGCCTGGAGACAGAGGTTGCAATGAGCTATGCTCCTGCCACTCCAGTCTAGCCTGCGCTACAGAGTGAGACCTTGTCTCCAAAAAAACATACAAGATTAAGAAAAACAAAACAAACAAAACTATGCATACTAAAAAAAAACTATTACCTTCTATAATAACCAAGAGAAAAACTAAGTTGGTTAAAATAGCTAATTATAAGGGTTTTCTTTATTTTAAAAAATGCTCAAGAGTATTTGAGATGATAGAAAGATAATTCATTTTAGTACTGACCATTATATACTTAGCATGAGATTTTACTTTAGTCTAATAGAGGCAAAGAGCCAAAAAGAGATATGAAAAAATGTGTGGGACAGCAAAAAAAGGATTCCATAGGACTCTAGGAAAAGCATGATGGCTCAGAATCTCCAAAAATGGCCCAAAGGGTTTACAAGAAGAATCAAAGAGGAAACCACCTTTTGTCAGCACATAATGGTCTTCCACAGGCCACTGTCAGTCCAATATGAAAACAACTAGAAGCCTCTTCTTCACCATCTAAATACCAGTCCTAAATAATTTTAGAGCAGTTTTAGATTCACAGCAAAATTATGTTTAAAGTACAGAGAGTTTTCATATACTCCCTGTCCCCATACATGCACAGTATACCCTATTATAAACATCCCACACTAGAGTGGTATGTTTAATTCTATCAATGAACCTACATCAAAGTAGGTTACATTAGGGTTCACTCCTGGTGCTGTACATTCCATGGTTTTGGACTAATGTATCAATACATGCATCCATAGTAACATGCATCCACCATTATAATATGATACGGAATAGTATCACTGGCCTAAAAATCCTTTGTGCTCTGGTCTATTCATCCCTCTGTCCTCCAAACACCTGGCTAACACTTTTTGAATGTGACCAAACACAGGCTCGAATGGGCATTTTAGCCCTCAAGGAAAGAAATTCCTATAAAGACTATGGTAGTAATGCTGGCCTCTTGGACATTATATAAACAGCTTCTCTCCCTTTGTTTTGTGCAAATTCAGATTGTTGTTTCTAATAATTTACCAATACGCATTTCCTAAATTATTTTCTGGATTTTTTTATATTAGCAATGTAGTAACAATCCATTTCTGGTAATAATATCCATTTGACCTCTGCTTGAACTGACATCAATACTTTAAAAAGTCTGAAACATACGCTTTTAAAAGATCCCAATTTGTTTTCTGCAGTTGTCAAAGAGCAAATCTTGGTCTTGGGCATGAGTTTTATTCTCCATCTGCACATTTTAACATTATAGCTTACAAACGTCTAAAGAAAACATCTTTGGATTTCTAACCCACGTCTCCAAATTGCTGATTTAAAATAACCGATTAAAGACATCTATCCAATTATTTAGAAAATGAATTCTCTTGAACCATTCAGAAGTTCATAGAAAAGAATGAATCATTTTATTGAGAGTCTTTGGAGCTTTGCGGGAGTTCCAGCCACTTATAACTGGAAGAAGTAAGTAACTCACTGTAACTGACCCGATTAAGAGATAAAAAATGAAGATAAAACTTTAGGTCTATTCTATTTTCAGAAACTTAACAGAAGACATAAGCTTTTCCTTAGGAAAATAATTTTTAAAAAATAGAAAAGGAAAATATGTCAGGGCCCGAAACCTCATGGTGTTCTTTCAGTTTCCTTGGGCCATTCAGTTTTGACTGAAACATCATTCCTAAGTAAGTATGCCACAATCTTCCATCACTTTATAAGTGGCAGGCTTTTGTTTTCTGTCCCAAGAGAAAATAGTAGATAAGCATTACCTTTGATTTTTCTTCATTTTCTCTATAAAATTCCGCCATCTGTTCCTCCTGCTCTTCAATAACATCCTTGAGTGTATCTACCTGGTAGATCAAATTGTTCTTCTCATTGTCTAACTGTGCATTGGAAACCATGGCTTTCTTGTATTTTTCTTCCACTTCAGACAAAGATTCCTAAATGAGAGTTGAATTCATCAGTCTGATATCTAAAATATGCTAATTGTATATATGCAATATAACAGGAAATTATGGCACTGCCACAAACACATAAAGATGCATTTTCATAAAATACAAGTGGTTTGGGGAACTCCTTGTTTAGTAACATGCACGTGAAACAGGAGGACAACAATAAGCCGATAATGCTTTTATAAGAACAGTATGTGCTCTCTGTTCCCCAAGAAAACAAAATTAAGCAGCAATATAGCCTCTGAAAGATGAAAGAAGTACAAACAACATGTATCTGTAAGTCATGAAATGAATCACTGTTTTCAGAAATTTTACTCTTAACAGTTTTAATAACAAACTGGTGGTGTTCAGAATGCAGTGATACCACAGAATATGGCCTCTCTTTACATAAGTGAACTTCATACTCATTTGAATTTTGCCACTTTCTAGACAGTTGTTTCCAGTACTTTCCTGTTCTGCATTAAAATGTCGATATAAAGGTAAATATTTTTTCCCAGCAATTACCCACATTTCAGTCATGTTTAAATAAGCAATACAAAAATGTGTATTTTTAAAAAAAGCCTGGCCAGGCATAGTGTTTCATGTCTGTAATCCCAGTACTTTGGGAGGCCAAGGTGGGTAGATCTTGGGCCCTGAAGCTCAAGACAAGCCTGGGCAACATGACAAAACCTTGTCTCCACAAGAAAATACAAAAATTAGCCAGACACGGAGGCCCACCTGTAGTCCCAGCTACTTGGGATGCTGAGGTGAGAACACTGATTGAGCCCAGGAGGTCACAGCTGCAGGAAACAGTGATAGTGCCACAGCACTCCAGCCTGTGTAACAGAGCGAGACCCTATCTCTACCAATCAATTAAAATAAAACAAAATAAAGAGTTTGATCTAGAGCTACAGTTTTGAAGTTAAAAAAAAGAAAAAAAGGCACCACAAAATGCCTGAAGTGTTATATACCTCAAATTTTTCCACCTAAGGTAACTTACATGTTTGTGTGTGTATGTGTGTAACTGTATCTAATTTGGTAATTACTACTGCTTAGTGACTTTTTTAAAGCTAAAAAAAAGGTTTCACATAGGAAAAGTAATCATTTATGGAAATAAATTTTTAAAATATTGGTGCAAATGTTTATCAGTGAAATGGAATTAAGAGCCCAGAACTCTCACATTTAAAATCAGTTAATTTTCGACAAAGGGGTCCATATAACTCAATGGGAAAAGAATAAATGGTATTGAGACAAGCATGGGTACCCACAAACAAAAGAATGAAGTTGGACTCCTACCTCACACCATACACAAAAATTAACTCAACATGAGCCATGGATCTAAATGTGAGAGCTAAAACAATAAAATGCTTCAAAGAAAATATAAACAAATCTTCATGACCTTGGGATAGGCAATGTTTTCTTAGATACAACAAAAGCACTATAAACCAGCGGAGTGTGGTGGCTCACGCACGCCTGTATGTAATCCTAGCAGTCTGAGAGTCCGAGGCAGGCAGATCACTTGAGGTCAGGAGTTCCAGACCAGCCTGACCAACATGGTGAAACTCCATCTTTACTAAAAATACAAAAATTAGCAGGGCGTGGTGGTGGGCCTGTAATCACAGCTATTCAGGAGGCTGAGTCAGGATAATTGCTTGAACCCAGGAGGCAGAGGCTGTAGTGAACTGAGATCATGCCACTGCACCCCAGCCTGGGTAACAGAGCGAGACCCTGTCTCAAAAACAAACAAAAAGCACTATAAACCATAAAAAGATAAGACCTCATCCAAATGTAAAACTTTTCTTTTGGCTGGGCACTGTGACTCATGCCTGTAATCCCAGCACTTTGGGAGGCTAAGGTGGCCGGATCACAAGGTCAGTTAGTTTGAGACCAGCCTGGTCAACATTGTGAAACCTTGTCTCTACTAAACATTAAAAAAAAAATTAGCCAGATGTGGTGGTGCACACCTGTAATCCCAGCTACTTGGGAGGCTGAGGCAGGAGAATCATACCATTGCACTCTGGCCTGGGTGACAGTGCGAGTTTTTCTGTCTCAAAAAACTTTTTCTCAGCTCACTGCAACCTCCACCTCATGGGTTCACACAGTTCTCCTGCCTTAGGCTCCTGAGCAGCTTCGATGACAGACACATATCACTACACCTGGCTACTTTTTTATATTTTTAGTAGAGATGAGGTTTCACTAAGTTGGCCAGACTGGTCTCAAACTCCTGACCTTGTGATCTGTCCGCCTCAGTCTCCCAAAGTGCTAGGATTACAGGCGTGAGCCACCTCACCTGGCCCAAATGTAAAACTTTTATGCTGCAAATGATATAATAAAGAAAGTAAAAAGACAACCCATAGAATGGGAGAAAATATTTGTAAGTCTTACATCTGATAAAAGACTTATATGCAGACTAATATATAAACAACTCTTACAACTCAACAATAAAGGACACACAAATTAATTTAAAAATGGGCAAGGACCTGAATAGATATTTCTCCAAAGAGGATATGCAAATGACAAATAAGCACAGGAAAACATGCTCGGCATCATTAGTCATTAGGAAAATGCACATCAAAATCACAATAAGATACCACTTCACATTCACTAGGATAGCTATAATCTAGAGCAAAAAATACAGAAGACAAGTGTTAGTAAGGATATGGAGAAACCAGATCTCTTATATATTGCTGGTAGGAACATAAAATGGTGCAGCTACTTTGGAGAACAGTTTGACAGTTCCTCAAAATGTTAAACATAGACCTAGCAATTCTATTCCCAGCAAACTACCAGAGAGAATTGAAAAGATATGTGTACACAAAAACTTGTACACAAATGTTCACAGCAGCATTACTCATAAAAGCCAAAAAAGTATAAACAACCCAAATGCCTATCAACTGACTAATGTATTAACAAAATGCAGCAAATCCATATAGTGGAATACTATCCAGCCATTAAAAAAAGACTGAGAGTTATTATGACATAGGTGAATATTGAATATATTATGCTAAATGAAAGCCAATCACAAAACATCACATATTGTATGACTCCATCTGTATGAAATCTCCAGAATAGGTGAATCTCTAGAGACAAAGTTAGTGATTGGGTTTCTTTTCTGGGTGATGAAAATGTTCTACAGATGAGTTGTGGTGCTAGTAGCACAACTCTGTGAATATGCTAAAAAAAAAAAAAAAAAAAAAAAAAACACTGAATTAAAATTTTAAGTAAATTTTTATGGAATGTGAATTACATCTAAAATAAAAATACATACATATACACACACACACTTTTTTTTTAAATTTTTTTTTTTTGAGACAGGGTCTTATTCTGTCGCCCAGGCTGGAACCTCCTCAGACTCGGGTGATTCTCCCACGTCAGCCTCCTGAGTAGCTGGGACCACAGGCACGTGCCACCACACCTGGCTAATTTTTTTTGCAGAGACAAGGTTTCACCATGTTGCCCATGCTGATCTCAAACTCCTGGGCTCAAGCTATCCACCTTGCCTTGGCCTCAGAAAGCGTATTACAGGTATGAGCCACCGTGCCTGGCCACACACACTTTACGCTCCATAAACCAGAATTGAGTTGTCAGGCAAGATTTAAACTAGGATTAGAAACAACAAATTTGTTTGTTTGTTTTTTGAGATGGAGTCTCGCTCTGTTGCCCAGGCTGGAGTGCAGTGGCGCGATCTCAGCTCACTGTAACCTCCGCCTCCCGGATTCAAGTGATTGTCCTCCCTCAGCCTCCTGAGTGGCTAGGATTACAGACGTGCACCACCATGCCCAGCTAATTTTATTATTATTAGTAGAGACGGGGTTTGACCATGCTGGTCAGGTTGGTCTCAAACTCCTGACCTCATGATCCGCGTGCCTCAGTCTCCCAAAGTACTGGGATTACAGGCATGAGCCACTGCACCCAGGCTAGAAATAAATTTAACCAAAACAAAGAATATAAGTAAAGTCAATTATATGGTGCTCTAAATATATCTAAATGTAGCTTACTATAATGCAGAATAATTATCCATCTGAGAGGGTAATAGCAGAAAAAAGTCCTCATCACAACTCAGTCCCATATAAAACCACATGAACACCAGAATTTAAGATAGCTCAAGTACTAGATGCATGCACAAAATATATAACACAATAAATAAGATATAAAATGTATGCAATGTCATCTTCCTTTAAACAGTAGACCACAAAAGACGGTTTTAAATGGAAGTGTCAAGGTATTTTAGTGATCTTAATCTTATTCAGAGTGATACCCATTAGGAATTGGTTTTACTTAAATGCTTATTTATTTATTTATTTATTTAGAGACAGAGTCTCACTGTGTCACCTGGCCTGGAGTGCAGTGGTGCAATCTCGGCTCACCGCGACCTCAGCCTCCCAGGTTCAAGTGATTCTCCTGCCTCAGCCTCCTGAGAAGTTGAGATTATAGGCTCCTACCACCTGATTTTTACATTTTTAGTAGAGACAAGGTTTCACCATGTTGGCCAGGCTGGTCTCGACCTCCCGACCTCAAATGACCCCAGCACTTTGGGAGGCCCAGGTGGGCAGATCACAAGGTCAGGAGATCAAGACCATCTTGGCTAACACAGTGAAACACTATCTCTACTAAAAATACAAAAAATTAGCTGGGTGGGGTGGTACGAGCCTTTAGTTCCATCTACTTGGGAGGATAAGGCAGGAGAATTGCTTGAACCCGAGAGGCAGAGGTTGCAGTGAGCCGAGATTGTGCCACTGCACTCTAGCCTGGGCGACAGAGTAAGACTCTGTCTCAAAAAAAAAAAAAACTGCCTAGGCGTGGTGGCTTACATCTGTAATCCCAGCAATCTGGGAGGCAGAGTGGGAGGACTGCTTGAGCCCAGGAGTTGTAGATCAGCCTGAGCCAACATGGTGAGACCCTGTTTAAAAAAAATAATTTTTTGTGGCCGGGCGCGGTGGCTCAAAAGTAATAATAATAATAATTTTTTTAAAAAAAAGAACAGCACTTTCTAGAAGTCCTTAATTAAA